CTAGCCTGCTATGTGTCTGCTGTTCATTTAGGACCCAACTAGGCTAGCTGGGGGGGGGGGGGCTATTCTACTGAAAGTTTGCTAGAGCTGACTGAAGAATGTTTCATCTGGGGATCTAATCTGGTATCACTGGAAAAGTGTCTTCAAGATATTGGAAGGAGGCAGTCAATTATCCAAGGAGATTAGTGAGTACAGGCTGATGCGAGTGACCCTTGCGACTATGTGCTACTGTCATCTCTCTTGTGCTAGAGTCAGTTTTGTTCAAATGGGACATTCTGGTCTCCGGAAGAGCTCAGTCCATTAGTTACTTGCGCAGGGACTCTGCTCATATCTTTAGAAGGAAGTTTAGCATCCTCAAGTTGCTGTTACAAAGCTCAGTTCACTATTTGTTTTTGCAAGGACTCTGCTCAGATCTTAAGAGGAAGATTATTGTCCTCAAGTTGCTGCTAAAAGTTACTGGAGTATCCCGCACTTACCTTGACCCTTTCCAAGTCCAAATTCTACAATCAAGCATCAGAAAAAGCATGCTAATTGACTCAGGATTGAGTCAAAGGAGTGACTGTGACTGCGTGCCTAGTTGTGGGGCAACTATGGGAGAAGACTCTGAAGACCTTGAACCGTGGGCTCCTGAGAGAGTGAGTGCTACACTTGTTAGGTGCTATTCTTCTACTATTCGCTACTAGCCCCATGAACCTACCAAAATTACCTCCTTCTTGCATCCTCTAATAACCAACATAACATGTTCTCTCCCCTAGACTGGTTTGTAGCCTTCCATTGTGCCTAGACCTTAAATTTTCCCTACTGTCTAGGATCACAAACATTACAGTATTGAGAGGACTTAGTGATCCATCCAAATACTATGTTGTTTTTTGTACTCTGTTGCATTAGAACCCTGTTTTCTGCCTTCAGGAAACAAATATGATTCAGGAAACCATCTTGTTTCTCCACAGAAAACAATACAAAATGCTTTACCACTCTGTTTACAGCTCCTGCTCAAGAGGGGTCAAAATACTTATTTTGAATAATATGGTGTTTTTCTGAAGGAAAGATGGGTGTTCTTTAATGCTGTAGGCTTGCATCACTCTAAGGAATAGATTACTCATCACATATATGTATGACATATTCAAATAAGCCATGCACCCATTTTCAAAATATAGGCGATATAAATCCATGTAGACCAATTTAATAGTTCAAACACAAGTCATAATTCTTTCTAACAATACAGTTATTTTTAACATTTCTCACCGTTGTGGTTTTCTCTTCCCACTTTTTTTTGTATTTTCCTTATTGAAATTAAATGATATGCCTTAGGTGAGTAATTCATCATTGCTAAAAGGAACCTGCCTTTTGTAAAAGGGTTCCTGAATTTTTATCCCTATACATAATGTATTTCCATCTGGTTTAATAGATGCATTTGGTCTGCTTGCATTCTTAAACGCATGGACTGTGTGTTCACAGATGTTAGGTCAGTAATGTTTTATTAGGAGTCAGTGAGTATTTTTCATGGGATTCTACAAGTGCTATTGGGCTGTGGTGTGCTCATGTAAGATATAAGGGGGGGGGGGGGTTGTTTTAGATACACATTTACATTTTTTTGTATGGTTTTGCTTAAAGTAGATGCAAAACCCAAATGCTAAAATTGCATCTAATCTTTAACATGGTAAGTTAACTTCAAAAGTTAATTCAGTCCTTTTAAAACTGCAGCCAATAGATAGGAAGTGAACGTAAAGAGGGTTCAAGAAATAAGTAGCACCAAGATGCAAGGATGGAAGTGCCCATTCAGGATGCAGTCATCCCACAATGCAGTGCACTGTTGTGTGCATATTTTATAACATTGACTTTGTGTGCAGTGTAGAATGGGCTACAATGTACCTCAACGCATGAAAAAAAATGGCTGATATTTTGTAGCAGTGCACTGTGGTGTACTTGACTTCAGCCTGTGAGCTCATTCACCTTACAATGTAGTGCACTGCAACACAGGTTTTTTGTGCATTGCAGTGCATTGCAGCACTGAATTAAGCAGCCATCTAAAAAATATTGTGCTGCAATTTACCTCAATGCATGATAAAATCAGTGCAGTCCATATTTTTTTTACTTGTCGCAAAAGGTGAATTTTAGAGGTTGGGGTAGCACCACATCACACCAACGCATGTAATGCACATAACAAGCACAATATTGCAGTGTGAATAGGCCCTTCACACCACAAATGCATCTTAATGCAATGTGCAACAACACATGTACTATGCCATTTATTTTAACCATGCCATTTTGAATGGCACCGCAATACCCAAACAATAGAAGGCAATATTCCTACACTGCATTGCACCACAATGCATATGCCATATACAATTAAAAAAAAAAACTTTTTTTTTGGTTCATTGCTTTGTTTTGACAGCCTATTCAAAATGAATGAGCCACTTTATCCCAGCTCAATGCACATGTAACTAGCCCTAATGGACCAGGTTTAAATCCAGCCTAGTATAAATAATTTGAACTCTCTGGATTTTAGCTGTCTCCAAATCCTTCCTTGTAGCAAATTGGCTGCTTTGCTGCTTACATATACAGTTTTAGATGTCAAAACTTAAAGTGTTAAAATACTAAAGACTTAAATTATATAAAAAAAAAAATAACACACACATCATACTTACCTGCTGCGTGCAGTGGTTTTGCACAGAACAGCCCAGATCCTCCTCTTCTCAGGTCCCCCGCCAGCGCTCCTGGCCCCTCCGTTGTGTTGGGTGACCCATAGCAAGCAACTTGCTATGGGGGCACCTGCTGCTCCATTTGTCTATTCACACATGGAGTCATGGCTTGGCCCCGTCCCCTCTCTCTTCTCATTAGGCTAACTGGCTGTGATTGACAGCAGCAGGAGCCAATGGCTCCCACTGTTGTCTCAGTCAATGAGGAGAGGGAGTACGGGATAGCCGAGACTCCAGTGCACATCTCTGGATCGAGAGGGGACTTAGGTGAGTACTAGAGGGGCTGGGGCTGTTGCACAGAAAATGTAAAAAAAAACCTTCAACCTTTACAACAACTATAATCACCACTTCATGAGCTGCAAAGATTCTCCAGCATGACGGAACCTTTAAGTTCACCTGCCAGCAATGACAACTTTTTTCTGCATAATAAGTTGTGAAAGGGAAATTTCTTTCTGAATTGCAGCACTTAGAATGATTTACATTTCTTGCCCACTTTGGCTCTGTGATGTCACTGGTTAATCTTATATAAAATTGATTACAAAGATCAACATTTCAGCTTTAAAATATCTCTTTGGTGTAATGTGGATTGGAACCAGATTACATCGGCATATTTGCCACTTTCTTGACAATAAAATAGTGTCATTTATATTGTCCCTCGTTAAGCTTTTCAGCGTGTGTTTTTACAAAAATCAATCTGATAATGTTAAGCACTTAAAGTTAAGGCCTAATAAAAAAAAACTGCAAAGGGGTCTTAAAATTTTGCCGACACCAAAAGAAATTTTCAGAAAGAGGTAAAAAAAAAAGCAAGCTTTCTGAAAGTGCTCTGTTCACACATTTTTCCCCCAATTTTAAAGGAGAAATCTAAGTAAATGTCAAGACTTTCATAAGTAGATCCGATTACTAATGGCAAAACTTATTTTTACACTGTGTTATGTGTAGTTCATTGAAATCCTCAATATTAAATCATTTTTGATTTGCATCTTAGATTTTGAGAATCTTAAGAGATGATTTGTTGAGCATGAAAGCTTTTACTAAGGCTACACAAAGAATTTCTAACAAAAATAACAGCCATTCCGATCAATTTATGTCGCAAAAAGAAAAGTCGAGATGAGGATGGGTAGGGCAATACTCAAAACAATAAAAACTATTTTCTAATCCCCAGCTAGTCAGCACTGACTATCTGCACTGTTTTTTGCTTCAAAATTATGGATTTCAGCTTTACTGCTACTTAAGCAAAATTGATCTAATTTTTTTGGGGGTGGAGTTAGGGCTGTACTTAGGACACTAGTTTATTTAATTCAGTAATCTTTTGTGTATACTGCCTTTTTTCGTTTCTTTTATTTTACTTTTAATTTCATTGTGAAAATAAAATAAAAAAAAGTAGTGAAGCTAATGAAGGGACGTTATTTTGTACAAGAATAGGTCCAGGATTGTCAAAGGAAGCTTCCTTTTTCTCAGGATCCATTTGAAGTCAATTGCACCTTCGAAAACCTGTCAAAAACATAATAATTTTACCCTCCCGTTTGATTCCAATGCATTTCAATAAATTGGTAGGGTTTTGCCAAAATCTCCTGCTTTTCTCTAAAAATTTGGGGAAATGAAAACTCTCAATTGCAGTCATCTCTACTTAGCAAGAAAAAAAAATCAAAATGTATACTTTGTCACAGCCATTTTCAAATACACTGCTCAAAAAAATAGCACTGTAATCAGAGTAGAGCATCAAGTCAATGGAACTCCTGGGATATTGATCTGGTCAGTTAAGTAGCAGAGGGAGTTGTTAATCAGTTTCAGCTGCTTTGGTGTTAATGTATTTAATAACAGGTGCACTACATTAGTAACAATGAGATGACCCCCAAAACAGGAATAGTTTTATAGTTTTACATGTAGAGGCCACTGACATTTTTTTCCCTACTCATCTTTTCTGTCTGTTTTTCACTAGTTTTGCATTTGGCTAGAGTCAGTATCACTACTGGTAGCATGAGGTGATACCTGGACCCTACAGAGGTTGCACAGGCAGTCCAACTCTTCCAGGATGGCACATCAACACGTGCCATTGCCAGACGGACCTTCTGGGCCGTAGAAGGTCCTTAATCCATCAGCAGGACCGGTATCTGCTCCTTTGTGCAAGGAGGCCCTACAAAATGACCTCCAGCAGGCCATGGTGTGAATGTCTCTGACCAAACAATCAGAAACAGACTTCATGAGGGTGGCCTGAGGGCCCAACATCCTCTAGTGGGCCCTGTGCTCACTGGAGCTCAATTGGCATTTGCCATTATTCACCAGAATTGGCAGGTCCGTCACTGGTACCATGTGCTTTTCACTGATGTGAGCAGGTTCACCATAAGCACATGTGACAGACGTGAAAGGGTCTGGAGAAGTTGTGGAGAAAATTATGCTGCCTGTAACATCGTTCAGCATGACCGTTTTGGTGGTGGGTCTATGATAGTCTTGGGCAGGGGCGGACTGACAACTCATGGGGCCCCTGGGCAATAGGGAATCATGGGGCCCCTGTGTCCTTGCCCAAACTCAAAAAAGCCTATGAAAAAGGTACTCATGGGGCCCCCTACTGACCACGGGCCCTCGGGCAGTGCCCGAGTTTCCAAATGGTCAGTCTGCCCCTGGTCTAGGGAGGTATATCCATTGAGGGACACACAGACTCTACAGGCTAGACAATGGCACCCTGACTGCCATCAGGTATTGAGATGAAATCCTTGGACCCATTGTCAGACCCTATGCTGGTGCAGTGGGTCCTGGGTTCCTCCTGGTGCACTATAATGTCCAGCTTCATGTGGTGAGAGTATGCAGGAAGTTTCTGGAGGATTAAGGAATTGATACCATTGAATGGCCCCCATGCGCGCCTGACCTAAATCCAATAGAACACCTCTGGGATACCATGTTTTTGCATCCAACACCACCAGGCTGCACTCAGACTTTCCAGGAGTTCAATGATGCCCTGATTCAGATATGGAAGGAAATACCCCAGGACGCGTCGTCGTCGTCTCATTAGGAACATGCCCTGACGTTGTCAGGCATGCATACTAGCACGTAGGGGCCATACAAACTACTAATAACCATTTTGAGTTGCTGCAATGAAATTTCAGCAAAATGGACTAGCCTGCTGCATCATTTTTTCCCTTTGATTTTTGGGGTGTCTTTGAATTCAGTCCTCTGTAGGTTGATCATTTTCATTTCCATCAAACGATGGAGCATCCTTATTTTTCTAACACATTACCCAGTCATATCAGTATATCCAGCATGATATTTTTCCCCATTGAGATCTGATATGCTTTCAAAGTGTTCCTTTAATTTTTTTGAGCAGTGTATATGTAAAGCCATACTGCTATGTCAAGGTAACTCTGCAGCTTTAACACCCCGGTCACATCGGGTGCTACTCAGCATGCGATTTGCATGCTATGTGACTTGCAAATCGCATGCCAAGTTGCACCCTACTGTCCACTATTACATCGGTCATATCGGTGTGGTTCTAAGTTGGTCAGATTTCTAAAGTAGTACATGTACTACTTTTGGTGCGATTTGCATAGACATCTGTGTCAGATGTCTTGCAAATCGCATCTGAAATCCGCATGTCCCCTGACTTTGAAATTGTGTGATTTCACTGTTAGTCGCACGATTTCAAAGTCGGCTTGATGTGACCGGGGTGTTAACAATCTAAGCTTTTAACCTGGGATTTAACCATGTGACCATCAAATATTTAAAGACGTCCACTAATTTGTGCCCATTTTTCCTATTGAATGATGGAAGGCTCAGTGGAGGCAACATGGCCTGTACTAGAGTATGACAATGTATTAAAGCATACGTTCACCTTTTAACAAAAAAATAATAAATGCACATTTTTTTTAGGTAAAAAAAAAATTTGCATTTACTATTTTTTGTTTTAGGAGCCAGTTCGCTGGTGCCAAGCAGGTCTCCTGCGGGCTGTCAGTATAATCTGTCTTCTAGTACCTTGTATGAGCAGATAGTTTTACTCTGACAGTGTGGAAGTGTCAATGTACTATCACAGCACTCAACAGCGCCATGTTAGCTCACTGAGAACTACAAGCTGACAGCTGCCAAGGCTGTCGGGTCTTGTAGCCTTCCCATTCACAGAACTCTGTGAATGGATGACCCGGCTGGGAGGAGAGGCTAGCTGTCATAACAGGGGATCAGGGGGGTTCGGGGACCAGTACAATTGTAGCATGTTACATGTTACACCCCTGAATATGGATGTAACATGTTACAAAAGGTGAACTTATCCTTTAAGGCAAGGAATCCCTGGATGAGTCAAATGGCAAACACACACATTTGGGTGTTAAAAAGTCTTCGCTGTGCCACAATGCAGTGAGCTGGTTACCTTCTTGAGAATTCTGAAGCTTTCCTGTCTCCATGTATTTAACAAAAGGAACAGAGACCCATTTAGGCTGGAAGGTGTAAGTGGTGGTGTAAGCAGTTGAGACTTATGTTCTGGTAGGAGGGTTTAGTCTAGAGAAAGTGCTCCTTGATACAGAAAGAGAAAGTAATCTGCCACAGGGGCACTCTCCCTTTATATCTTAAAGAAACTCATCAAAATAAAAAAAAAAAATATCTCAAAACACAGAGACATGCAAATGTTACATTCATTGGCTAGTAAAAGCTATTGTATAGAAGAGAAAAATAAAGCAAGTATCACATTAAATGTACTTAATGTATTAAGAATGTTATTTAAATCAACTGCATTCACAGACACTGTGAATAACAAAGTAAATGTCCTGTTTTTAACTAAAAGCACACATTTTTAGTGGCTTTTTTCCCCCGAAATAAGCATTTACATCAATGTAGGGCAGGGGCTACTGTGGCAATTTATATTCTTTAAATATTGGAGATTTAAAACAGATCTCCATCTAATTTTGTTTTAATTACCAACATTAAAAAAAAAAATTCAACTACTCAGCCACATTTAGCCCTGCCACTTGTTGCCACCCCCAATTCTGGATCGAAGAAAAGCCAGCATCATTCAACCACTTCCTGCGAGACCAGTCACAGCCATGCCCCCTGGGGGGTGAGACATCAAGCCAACCTGGGATTAGAGCACTGAAACTGTGTTCACGCCTTATTTTGTGAGTTCTTTCAATGCTACAGTAAGGATCACCTCCTGCTGCCTCTGGAGAAGTGAAGGAAGAACCTGTGGCATAATTGGACTGGCCCCAAAGACACCTGAAATTATAGGATAAATTCACTGTTTGACCAAAAAGAATAAATGCAGATTTTTTTTGTAGGTAAAAAATGTGCATTCATTATATTTGGATGTAGGCGCCTTTAAACCATTTCAGCGATAGCACCGTGGTAGTTTATTGAGAACTACAAGCTGACAGCCGCTAAGGCAGGGATAGGCAGGGCAGCAGCTGCAGCATTGGGAACATGTTACATATTCCACCATAAAAACAAATGGACCATGTAGCATGTTCGCAAAGGTGAACTTATCCATTAAGGCATGTATTTAAGTCATTTAAATAAAAAATGAAAGTGGTTCTAAAGGAAGAAGGTTTTTTTTACCCTAATGCATTCTCTGCATTAAAAGATAAGTTCACCTTTTGGAACATGTTACATGTGTCACCAGTTTTTAGGGTGGAACATGTAACATGTTCCCAATGCTGCAGCTGTTGCCCGCTGCCCCCTACACTCCCCACAGCTCCGCCCACTTGGCTGTGTCATTCATTCACAGTGTTCTGTGAATGAATGAACTACAAGTCCTGACAGCCTTAGCAGCTGTCAGCTTGTAGTTCTCAATGAACTACCATGGTGCTGTAGAGTGCTGTGGTAGTTCATTGAATCTTCCTGTTAGTATATCTGCTTGCCCGTACATCCCATACGGATAAGCAGATATACTGATAGGTCTGCAGGAGACCTGCATTGCAAGAGTGATCTGGCTACTCTGTATTCCCCAGAATCTCACCTGAATGAGTATGATGTCACCCTTGCTAGGTACCACAGGCAACATTTGGGTAAGGTAAGCATAGCACTAATTTTTTTTCTTTACAGGTACATTTTGGACATCATCAAGCAATTTTTACAGGAGGAAAGGGGCCCAGACATTATACGTGGACCTTGCACTGTACAGCAAGTTTTGCTTTAAGAGGGCTTCGCTATACCTCAATCTAAAAACATGTTTAAAATTTACTAAAACCATTTTTAATATTTGTTACTTTGCTGTAACATGTTTTAATATTATTATCATATTTAATTCCATGTTTTACATATTAGGCAAAATTTGGCAACAAAGTGATAGCTGGCAGGTCTCTACATTGGAACTACTGGTCAGGAAGTAACCTTTGTGCCTGAAAAAGTCATCCACACTTTATTCTCTTCTTTAAAATCTATATTTCTTCTGATAAATTCTAAATTGTATATACTCAGTCATAAATTGTATTATAACATCTTTAACATAAACTGGTTTGTAACTTATAGAGAACATTCTTTCCCTACTTTTCCCATTTTTTGTTTTTTTTTTTTCTTAAGTTTTTCTAATTCAGAATAGTGCTGTGCTTATCACAATTTTAAATGATCACATCCTTAGAAGGGTGTGAAATGATAATTAGCAGATAGTTATAAAAAATAATTGTAATATATTCTGAATAAATTTCAGGCCAAGCCCAGTAATGTTGTCATTAATCACTGCCTCGCTGCAGCCATGTTTTTTTTTCTTCCTCATGAAAATACGGAATTAAAGCATTAATTTTTCACAAATTGATAGTGAGAGAAGTCCCCACCCCCTAGTCATGGAATATGCAAATGATGGAACAATAAATAGAACATGGCAAACACAGAGCAGTTGCCTTCTTGGAATTAACTCTTTAAGTGCAAATATTTTATTCTTAAAAATGTAGCTTGTTTTTTTAGAAAAGACTGCTGTAATTTGTTAGCCCTTATGATTTTTGTAGCACGCTTTGTTAAGTAGCATTTTTTGCACCATTGGTACGATTATGTTCAGAAAATAAATATCACAATAACAACAATTACAATTACAAACAGTGAAAAAGTCCTTTCTCACTTTAAAGTCATCTCCAACTGACACTAAAAGTAGGAAATAAGAAAGAATGAGAGTATTATTTGGGGGGGAGGGCGCGGTACTAAGTTACACCACATCCCACTATAAATATAAATAATACACCAAACACCAAAATTATATTTATATTTTTAATTGTAATGAAATTTTAAAACTTTACGTTTTCCAAAAACAGCACCGCTGCTTCCAAAGGGTTTACCGTATTTTGTTGTTATCTTTTATTGTTGCACTGTGTGGTTCTGATTGCCCTGCTTGCTTTCTTAATATACAGTAATTGTGTATTGCATATGCATGCACTGTTTAGTTCTGATGCCCTGCAGAGTTGGTAAGTCCTGACAAGCAATATTTAACTTTGCTGGTTAGGTTTTCCCGGGCTTTTTAGGAAGTACTGCCCTCTGCTGGGGCGAA